TATTTAAAGAGTATTAATTTTGGTGACTTTTTTATCATATTTCTATTAATTTTTAACTTTTTTTTAGAAAAACCGGATCAGAAAACATAAGAAAAACTTAAGGTTAAGCGAGCCCCGTAAAGGTCGAATAATACGTACAAACAACTAGATGCAACAAAATGCTGAACCTGCTGTAAAAATATTCAACATAAATACATTGACCTCTAGGAGGATATCGAATTGATCCATGATTACCAACCTATAGTTACGGAGAATTATAACGCTATTGAAAAATTGATGAATTATTGCTGACATTATAGACTGTTACATTGACCTCTAGGAGGATACCAAATTCATCCATGATTAAGAACCTGAAGATGCGGAGAATTGTAACGGTATTGAAAAATTGTTGAATTATTACTGACATTATAGACTGTTATTAAGATGTTTCAAAACATCCAGATTTTTTTCTTGAAATGTTTGGGAAAGTATATTATATTTCCCACGCATTTTATGGTACCAGATTTTGCTTTGGTATCGAACCAGATTTTGCTTTGTAAACAAAATAAACGACGCATTTAAGATGAAAATTAACGAAACGTAAGTAGTTTCAAGCTGGATAAAGTACTGTCAAGAAGTGAAAGAAATCTACAAGAAGAAATCCTTAAGCAAGATTAACTTTGGTCAGTTTTTAATGTCATTTTGCTGCAGTGTGAATAAATCAAATATATGTTTTCTTAGAACGCTATATAAGTGTATATTTTAGAATAAGAGTTATATAGCTGCAACGAAATGAATAATCTTAAGACAAACATCGACCAATTATCGATATTTTTTCTTGTGGAGTATTTAGAAAAGTAAATATTTCTAATATAAATTATCGTCCTTCGACTGGATTTTTAATAAATGTATTTTGGAATATTTTCAAAAAAGCATTAACCAATATATAAATAGTTCACTTAATAATAATGAACTGTCAATCAATCGGACACATTATACTTTTTAAATATAGGAATCCCCAAGTTTAGGAATCCCATAGCAGATCCATTATTATAAAATCAGTCAAAATTAAAAATGTTACACGATCTCTTGGGCTTGTATAATACAAACAATTATTATCGGGTAAATAACGAGATGATGTTGATTATTCACCTTCACTATTTCTACGGCACAAATGATACAATCATAAAATTAAATATATCTGTACAAAAATAAAAATCATCAATCAGCCAATCGCGTCCACTGCTGGACATAGGCCTCCCTCAGTTCTTTCCAGTGTTCTCTACATTGGGCCGCTTGTAGCCAGTTCAAATATAAAAATAAAAACAAAAATAAAAATAAAAGCTCTAAAATAAATGCTTTAAATAAAAAATATATTTAGGCGTTACGGTAAGATCTCCTAACGATCCCCAGTTACAAATTAAACCAAACTGTTTAAGTGATTTATTAAAATAAGTAGAAATGTTTCATTATATTATATTTCGAAGGTGATGCGAAACTATTATCAAAGAAATTGATGTAAAATTAAAATAAAATAGACCGAGAACTTTGTACATTTACAGGATGGCTGAAACCGCAGAAAATGTAGTTTTCTTATTATTAAATTAAATGAGTTATGTAATAAGGGAATTATTAATTATTAATTGAGATTTCGACCATTCACTCACTTGAGAGAAGATGATTGGAGTTCAGTGGCCCTTTATTATATTATTAGAAGGCTTTTATTTGCTACTTCTTCTTATTCTTCTTCCTTATAGTATGTAGGCTTTAAAGTCTGTTTCTTCTTAAATATTAGCTTCCTAAATTGTTTAAATTGTCGCACCACCTTTTTCTTGGTCTGCCAATACTTCTTAGTCCATTTGGTGGCTTATCTCGTGCTATTCGTACTATTCTATCCTGTGTTCGTTCCACTCCTGTTTTCGTTTTGTCTGCATGCTCTTCTTAAGTTTTCGCTTCTCTCCCTATCCAACAGACTTCTCCCTGGTATTGGTCGGAGTATTTTCATCTCTGTTGTTTCTAGCAGTCGTCTCGTTTTAGATGTGTCAGGTCTCGTCTACGCCGTGTATGTTAATTTAGGTCTAATTGCTGCTTTATAGATTCTTGTTTTTGTGTCTTGCCTTAGGTGTTTGTTCTTCCAGATTGTGTCATTAACCCTGGAACTGCACTGTTGGGTCTCAGAAACCCAGAGAGTCATTCATTGCAATGTGACCTGCGCATGAGTGGTTTATGTGTGTGTATTGGTCAGAGAGAGGCAGACAATTTATGGGAGAATGAGAGTGAAAACGACATCGTAGACGATATGTTTGGAGGGGACGAGTCTGATGAAGATTACATTGAAGAGCAACTGTCGGACAGCAACAGTGAACAAAGCGACCATGAAGACGAAATAGTAGATGAACCAGTTAGAAATATTCCTAGTTTACTGGGGAAAAATGGTCATTGGTGGAGCACACAAGCACCAGCAAGACAGGGTTGTACAAGACGAGAAAACATTGAAAAACATTTACCTGGCCCCAAAGAAGAAGCGAGCACAGTTCAATCTCCTGAACAATCTTGGAATTTGTTGTTAAGCGAACAAATGATAGATGTTGTGTTGCACTCAAATGAAGAAGTCATTCGTAAATGCAATGATATTAGACTGAAATTCTGGGAATTGAAGTCCCCCCCACCACAACGTGATGTTCATTTAACAATAAAAGATAGATGCTGCTTTTGTGCAAAAGGAAAATATAGAAAAACCAGTTTTGCGTGTTCTGAGTGTCGCAGACCATATTGCATGGAACATAGAGCCCAGCTATGCTGTGAATGCGAACATCAAGATCCAAGAAACTGAAGACCTGGCTAAGAATAACTAAGACTTATATTACCAAGAGTCTATTTTTTTGTTAAAAGTATAGTTATACAGGTGTATTTTGTAGATGATAATTTCAATTTAATGTTTATTTGTTTTAATAACAATGTTTTATGTTTGAATATTATTTTATGTTATTTTTGAATTTCAACAAATATATCTCTTTGTGAAATACCACACCATGGTTAAATTTTTTTCTACACATTCTACGAAGCTTAGATATTCTCCCAAATCCATCAAATATTCACATTTTCTGTTTTTTTTTTTGCTAAAAAACAGCTTTGGGTTTCTGAGACCCGAGTGTGAAGTTCATGCCTTAAAAAATAATTGTGATGTACCAGGGTTAAGAGAACCCGCCGCTTTATTTGCTTTTAAGCTTTGTTGTCGTACCTCTTCTTCAACTTCTTTCTTCTTCTTTAATTGCTGCGAAAGTCTAATTATGACTTTCCAAGACATAATCTTGGAATACAACATTACATAGCATTTTCATACTATTCCCTGTTTTCTGATTATATTCTACGACTTTTCAATCAATTACCTTCTTTTTACATTCTTCTTTGGCATTTTCTGCTTCGTTTTCACGTTTTGCTTTAATTCGTCTACCTATTTTCTCCAATATTTTAAATGTATCTGCCACCTATTTCTCATCTGTTTCTGTCACTTTCCGTGTTCCCCCTTCCTATTTCCATTTTAAACTATTTTTTATTGTTTTCCCTCACTTTGTTTCTTTCATATTGATTCCATTTTTCGCCTATTTCTTATGCTTTCCTGTCACTTGCTGTTATCATGATTTACCCACACCAATTTACCAAAATATTTTCAATTCTTTTTTAGCTTATATTAATTACATTACATTTATGTTTTCCTGATTTTCTAGAATTTTTATACTCCTTGATTGTTTCATTTATTGTATAATTTTGGCTGATTGTCTTTAATATAATATAATATAATATAATATAATATAATATAATATTATATAATATAATATAATATAATATAATATAATATAATATAATATAATATAATATAATATAATATAATATAATATAATATAATATAATATAATATAATATAATATAATATAATATAATATAATTAATATAATATAATATAATATAATATAATATAATATAATATAATATAATATAATATAATATAATATAATATAATATAATATAATATAATATAATATAATATAATATAATATAATATAATATAATATAATATAATATAATATAATATAATATAATATAATATAATATAATATAATATAATATAATATAATATATATAATATAATATAATATAATATAATATAATATAATATAATATAATATAATATAATATAATATAATATAATATAATATAATATAATATAATATAATATAACAAAATATAATATAATATAATATAATATAATATAATATAATATAATATAATATAATATAATATAATATAATATAATATAATATAATATAATATAATATAATATAATATAATATAATATAATATAATATAATATAATATAATATAATATAATATAATATAATATAATATAATATAATATAATATAATATAATATAATATAATATAATATAATATAATATAATATAATACATATAATATAATATAATATAATATAATATAATATAATATAATATAATATAATATAATATAATATAATATAATATAATATAATATAATATAATATAATATAATATAATATAATATAATTATAATATAATATAATATAATATAATATAATATAATATAATATAATATAATATAATATAATATAATATAATATAATATAATATAATATAATATAATATAATATAATATAATATAATATAATATAATATAATATAATATAATATAATATAATATAATATAATATAATATAATATAATATAATATAATATAATATAATATAATATAATATAATACAATACAATATAATATAATATAATATAATATAATATAATATAATATAATATATAATATAATATAATATAATATAATATAATATAATATAATATAATATAATATAATATAATATAATATAATATAATATAATATAATATAATATAATATAATATAATATAATATAATATAATATAATATAATATAATATAATATAATATAATATAATATAATAACTATAGTCAAATGGGCCATGATGATCGCCAATGTTCTTAGGGATGGGGCACGTTAAGAAGAAGAAGAAGTCATTAATAGAATTTCTTCTGCAATTCTTCCGTCAATCGGCCATTAGTTTTCGTCTGGTTTTGTTCTGGCTTCATTTCTTCCATATTTGTTTCCGTATTTTCCCATGCTTAGCTATTAATTGTCGTTAACTGTATTTCTTCCATACTTTTTCGTCCTAAACTTCACGATTTCCATGCATTCCATTAGGCCTACTTTCTGCAGTTATCATTCACTTATGACAGCAAGGCTGTCATTTAATTAGATTTTTTCATGTTCATTTTTCCTGCATTGTAAGCACATTTACGCTAGTTTTCTGTAACGTAATTTTTCTCATTTTTTCACACAATTTTCTTTTAAGTGCCTATTTTCTTCTTTGTCGTCTCCTGATTTCGGTCAATTGTCTATTTCATTCCATTTCCATGTCTTCGATTTGTTTCCATATTTTTTTTCCTTTTTGCCGCCTATTTTTCCATTCTTTCCTATTAATTGTCATTAAGTTTATTTCCTCCTTACTTTTGTCCTAAACTTCACGTTTTCCAAGTATACACTTCAATTGTCATTACTTATTTTTTCTCTCTCTTTTTTTCTGTCTATTTTCTATGGTTGTACTTATCATTCCACGGCTGTCATTCAATTAGCTTTATTCAGATTCACTTTTCCTCAATGTTATATTAATTTTCCATATTTTACTATCACTTGCCATTCTCCTCATTTCTTCTACATAGTTTTGGTCTTTAACTCTTATGTCGGTTTTATCATCTCCCAATTTTGGCCAATTGTCTATTTTATTATATTTCCATTTTTATTTCTCTTATTTCTCTATCGCGTCTTTTTTGATACTTTTCTCCTTTTTCGGCTACTTTTCATGCTAACCTTAATTATATTTCTTCTATGTATTTCTGTCACTTGTGACTAGTGATAATTATGTCATACATTTCTTTATTTTCCGCTTATTTCCCGTACTTTAATAGTGTTATTAACTTTATTTCTTCCTTATTTTCCCCATATTTGAGCCTATTTTCTATTTCTCTCATTTGCTACTTACTCATTTCTTCTACAAGTTCCATTTCTTCGACTATTTGCTTCCATATTGTATACTTATTTCAGCCTATTTTTTATTGACTTCTATGTATCCCTTCATTTTTTTTTTCATATTTTCCATCATTTTCAGTAAATTTTCCAATAACTTACAATACTATTTTCTTCCAATTTACTGATTTTTTCACTTTTTTCCCCTATTTTTAAGACTTTCCTGTCACGTATATCTTTTTCTGCCTATTTTGCACGGTTTCGTTCCATATAAAATTATTGCCAACTATTCCTTATCTTTCCATTTTTTGAGCCTATTTTTATATTTCATTCATTCGGTGTCATTCATTCGCCTAAGTCATTCGCTTACTTCACAACGGTTTCCTGTCACTTCTATCTCATTTATTGGCTTGAGTTCTTCCACACTTTTCTTTTTTTGTGTCTACTTTTTAGTCTTTTTATCCTTATCGTTAGCTTCAGCTGATCTGTAGTTTTCTTCATTTTACGTCTAGTTTCCTTACTTTTGTGTAACTTGTAACATATCCTTCTACACTTATATCCATCTTTCTATCGCCTATTTTTGTTCCGTTTTAGTCATTTATAGTCGCTTTATTTCTACCATAATTTGATCATTTTGTGTGTATATTTTTTGTTTTGTCCTCATTTAATTTTCTGCCTTTTGCACATGCTTTGCTATCAGTTAACATTAGCTTCATTGCTTCTCTCCTTTTCCTCCTTGTATGCTTGTGTTCCTTGGTCTCCTGTCATTAGTAGCTTAATTTCTTTTATACATTTCTATCTGTTTTTGGACGCAGGGAAAAATCCAAGGACTCAGAAATCCAGGTCGTAGAAGAATGTCCTGGATGACAAATTTAAGAGAGTGGTTTGGCTGTACCACTAACGAATTATTCAAAACGGCAGTAAATAAAATTAGAATCGCCCTAATGATATCCAATAGGAGAGGCACTCAAAGAAGAAGAGAATTATTTTTGGTATTATTTCTCCATTTTTTGGTTAAATCCTTGCACAACCCTAGGATTTATCTTTTTGTCTTTTAAATTCACTTTAGACTCACGTGAGCGAATGGACTGGACATTATTGCGCATACACGATATGGCACGTCAATAAAGTAATTTTTAATTTAGAAAAACTAAAATTACGGCTAAAATAACATTTAAAGATGAAGAGTTAAAAATGTCTAAAAGTAAAAACAGTAGAATTTATCGCAGAATATTTTAAAACGCCAAGACTATTATCAATCTGGAAATTTGAAATTGCTGAATGTAGTTCGACAATAAATAAACAAAAACGCTTGATTTTGATAAAATTTGTGCATGAAAAATGTGGCAATATGTCTATTTTGTCAAAATTAACATTTTTTGTTCCATATTTCTTCAAAACACTGATCTGCAGTACTGGTTGCATACATCGCTATTTGTTGTTCTATTTGTTCACAGCAGCAAAAAGAATTACTGGTTGCCTAATTTGATACAACATTGAAATCATATACGACGGTGGTTATACAAGTACAATAGAAAAAGACAAAGCCAATTGTGGAAAAAAATTAGTAGTTCTACACAAAACATCTTTTTACGTAGGTTTAAGCCAATAAAAGGGAAGACACCTGTACAAAAACTTGCAGCGTTGTTGTTTATTTGCAGACTTTCTAAAAGTTTAACAAGCGCAATAAAATAAAAATTATATAACATAGGAACGCTAATGAATCACTTAATATATACAAAAGTCTGAAATATCTTTAAAAACTCTTCGTATACTTAAATCTAAGTATATACTATCAGACTGAGCCTTGGAATAACAGGTAAAAGTTTATTTAAGCTAAAAACAACCCGAATTTACTCTAATCAACCGAATATCTCGTTTCGAGATGTTTTAAAAAGTAAACAGTTATGCTTCAAAACAAGCATATTTTAAATGTTAATTTTAACTATTAGAATAGTAATTTTGTATAAAAAAATTAAGTAGAAGGTACTAGGGGGTCACAGAGCAATATAACCAACGCCAAACCGACTGAATCGACGCAAATCTTAGTTTATCTGAGCATCTCTCGGCCCCATGTTTAAAGTTGTTGAAATATTGAAATAAAGCACAATTAAATTGATAATTGCTCTTTAGTAGGCTTTCAGTAGGTTTAGCTGCAAGGTGTGGCTGTAAAATAAAGATATCAAAACTTACACAAAAGAACTGCGCATGCTTCAAAATTGTCGAGGAAAGATTGCAATTAGTGGAAAAATTGTACAACAAATATCACAACCGAGAAATCTGCAAAAACTTCTTTCCTGTCCTTGCACCATGTAATTTTTGTTTTCCATTAAAGTCAAATTTGTCTTAACCCCAATAATAATCGACGAATCGTCGACGTTGCACAAAGGGTAAAACATATAGCTACAATGAAAAAGTTTTCAGAAAGACTTCCAATTCAGCGTGAGTTTCATTATTTTACAGCCACACCTCGTATAACCTCTTCAATATCCCCGTATATATTAAATTAATGACTTCCATTAAAATTTCATTATTAATTGTTAAATTATATATATTTTCTAAATGATCCACGACTCGTACGAGGCCGTCCAGTAATTTATAGCCGTCCATGATGGAAATTCGTTGATGAACTTTTTGAATTCCTTCGTAGCTTTCCCCGGACCGAAAAGGTAGTGGGATGTCACCGCCAGGTCCATTATAGGTCCTTTGTGTTCACTTGGTACCTAAAAGAAATAATTAGATATAAAAAAAATAACAAAGACGATAACAAAAAAGTTTGAGACAAACAATAAATGTTAAATGATGAAAAGTATACAGTGACACAAAAGTACTGGAATGTATAGCATAAAAAGTACCAATGGCATATACTTTTCGATAAATTAGTTGCTGATTAGATAAAGATCTTGATCTTCAGACCGAAATAAAAGTGCATAACGGAAGAGCATCAACAGACAAATTTAAAAAATAACATTATCTCTATGATTACATGTTACTGAATGCGGGATATGTATCTCTTTTTCTCTATTACATATTTGCCTATATCTTGTCCTTTCACTTTATGTATAAAGATCTCTATACCTTTCCACTGCGTCTGATCTCTGCCTTTATCTCTCTATTCACCTGTGTCTACGTCTCTTTCTATTACTTCCTGTCTAGTTCATGGAGCTTTTAAAATTATGTTAGTTTTCAATTTGTATGTACAGAGTGTCCAGAAAATCTTCTGACAAACGAAAACCGCAGATTCCTTAGATACTTTTAAGACGATATAACCTAATTCACCTAGTCCGAAAATGCTTCCTAAGGGAGCTGAGCTCTTTGAAGATGGCGCCTGGTAAGTAGCTTTTTTTTAAACTCTAGAGAGAGCTTCTATTTAGAAAAATTAAAACTGGTACGATTATTTATCGCACAGAGTTAAATCAATTTCATTAATTGCGAATTTCTAGTACCGTTCATAGACGTCCGTTTTGGGTAGATCAACGGGTATTTTAACGTATAACTTTCTTGTCTGTAATTTTTAATCATTTGTGATATCATATTATTAAATTTTCAGATATTCTAGTACCAAAAGGTATTCGTACTTTAAGTCTGTAGGATACACCGTTTTCTAGAACAATCGATTTGAAAAATGTTTTAAGCATGAAAATCTATTAGCAGTGCTTGTACATTTGTAAAATGAAAGGATATAAGTTTTCGTTGTGTAAGATATTTTTTGCGGAAGATTTTGAAATTGTTTAGACTTGACAGATAGTCTTCGAACGCTAATTTCTAAATTTTCCTAAACTTCCATTAAAGTGACAACTTGTTGTGCTGTTACATCATTATATCGCCGTGTTTCATTATTTTTTGGGAACACTGAACTTGTTTATCTTAATCGGGAAATTTTCAGCGTATCTATTTTACTGCTCGAGCGTTACACCTCATTTCGCACTAAACTAAATGTATATCAGCGTATTCCTCATTAGTAAAAACCATTTTTGTTGAATTGAAATTATTATGTTTGAATGCCACAAATTAAAAAGTAAAAGAGAAACACTTCAGGACCTGACAAGAGTTTGACAATGAAAAATGTACTAGTATTCTAGTACTAAACTAGAATATCTGAAAATCTAATAATCTAGTATTACAAATTCTTAAAAGTTACAGATAAAAAAGTTATGCGTTAAAATACCCGTTGACATACTCAAAACGGACGCCTATGAACTGTACTAGAAATTCGAAATTAATGGAATCGATTCAACTCTGGAGAAAAAATAATCGTACTAGTTTTTATTTTTATAAATAGAACCGTTCTGGAGGTATTAAAAAAACTGATAACAAGCAGTCATCTTCGAAGAGCTCTAGATCCCTTAGGAAGCATTTTCGGACGATAGAAATTGAGTTAAATTGTCTTACAATTATCTAAGGAACCTCCGGTCTTCGTTTGTCAGGAGAGTTTCTGGGCACCCTGTATAGTACTTTGTTCATTAATCTTTACATTTTTTATCCTTTATTCTACAATTCTGTATCTTTATCTATCTATTTCTAGATTTATATCATTCTCCCTAGACTATTTACTTTATAATTTGTTTCGCTCTTCTCTTACGTCTACATTTTATTTGTATTTTTGTAGCATTCTCTCTCTCTCTCTCTCTATCGTTTTTCTCTTGGTAATATCTAATTCTCTCCCGTTATGACTTTTTGTATTATCAATATATCTTATATATCTTCATCGCCACATAATTCTCTCTCCTCCTCTTTTATTTATGTCTTCTGTGTCTATTTGCTCTTGAAAAACTATGGTACTTCTTACCTTTATTACCACTATTATAGTTTCCTAGCTCTATCTAATATATATCGACGATTTTCTGCATCAGAAATCTTTCTTGTTCAGTTTTTTTAAGCAACTGTTCTTTTTACTTTATGTATATAGTTGATTTTTAAACGTTTCGAACTAAACTACATACTTACCTTAAAATCTATGGTAACTGTTATTGGCACAGGTTCCAGACCGTAGGCATAATAGATGAAGTAGGTTTTTCTACCGTTCCAAAGAGGACCGGCCAAAGGTTCTTGCGTGGGTATACTCCAATCGGTAATTTCGACTCCGAGTACTGGAGAAATCATCACTCCAATATGTGTAGGACCTGTATAAAGAAAGAAAAAGATGGTGTAGTGGGCGATACTGCAGCCTAGCGCGAAGCTTCATACTAAGTTTTCTATATTTTAAAAGTTTAAATAAAATAATACAATAAATTATTATATTTAAATAAATAAAGTCACGCTGTATATTTCATCTGCATGATTTGAGATTAAGATACGTTACAAAAATTAATACAGGCCAGTATAAATACTAGTAACGTTTTCTATTAGTTGTGAGGTTTTCTATTTTCATATAATAGTGCGTGTCGTGACGATCCGGTCTGCATTTTACTATAAAGACAAATTAATACGACGCCAGTAAAAAATTTTAAGATTTTGGGGCAGGTTAAAGTCAAAAGTGTGGTATGTGCACAATAGGAAAAATGACTCGAAATTCTCCTTCAAATTGCTAATGTTTACACTGCAAAAGGATACTTCTGGATGGTGAATATATGTATAACACATCACTCAATAGACCACGAGTGTTCTATCACTAATAAATTTATATAATTTAGAAACCATTAACTTTCAAACGTCATCTGTCAAAATTTGCGCTTAAATTCGACGTTTCAGGTGTCAAACGAAAGAAAGCGAGGGAGTATACTTATATAGAAAATTTTAAGACAGCGTCTTGCCAAATGGGCACTAAATTATATCTGGGGTATTAGTGGCCCTATCTTAATGTATGAGATATCTTAAAAAAGGGAAGTGATATTAACGTGACATTTGATATAAAATTCATATTTTTCGTCAAAATGTTACATTTTTGTCACATTTTTGTGAACTTGTATTTGCTTAATAATTGGGCACCACACTAGACATCCCTAGTCAATTTCACAAAACAAAATGAAAACTGAAAACTGATAAGCACGAACACAAGGTCACAAATTTATCAAAAGGCTATTTTTAAAGACCGCCTCAAAGGGTTGGTCCTATTCAACAGACAACAGGGAAGTCATTAACCTTCTTTAGAAACACTCGATGATGAAAAACTTATTCCCACTTTTCCGAAATATATATTTTATACCAAAAAAAAATACACTTCTTCGAGAGAACAATAAAAAGCCACCAACATTTTTAATTTATTTATTTACATGGGCAATACTCCTAGCGCCACCTGTGTTGTAGATATACAAAAATTGAATTACTAAGATTGTCTTTTCATTTTCTCGAAATATATATTTCAAACCTAAAAAATTAACAATTTTCCGAGAGAACCCTAAAACACCACTCACAGTTTTAAGACACAGACACAGACACAAACACAACACAAACACAAACACAAACACAAACACAAACTCAAACACAAACACAAACACAAACACAAACACAAACACAAACACAAACACAAACACAAACACAAACACAAACACAAACACAAACACAAACACAAACACAAACACAAACAAACACAAACACAAACACACACACACACACACACACACACACACACACACACACACACACACACACACACACACACACACACACATAGGGGAGAAGGGGGAGGTCTGGGACAAGGGAGGTGTGGGACATTTCAAATTTCCCACCTTCATATGTGAACTATCAGTTCTGTACTTTCTCACTCGATGTATTACTGGTTGTAGCATTTCCTATTTGTTCAGTGTTGTAAAATAACATGTGTTATGATCAAGAGAGAATTTTATTGATTTTCATTTTTAAAAGGTAAGAATTTAACGTTTGTAAACTATTTTTTCTGATTATTATAATATTTCAAGGCAACATAGAAACCAATATAATGATAAGCTTATGGAAAGTTAACCAAATGGCAGGATATGACTGGTTCAAAGGCTTCATGGAACGCCACAAAGAACACGTTCTCACGTAGTTTCGCTACGTTCTCCAGAAGCTACAAGTCTGGTAAGGGCAACAAGCTTCAACAAAACCAATGTTGATATGTTTCTAAATAACTTAAAAACTATCTATGAAAAGTATAATCTCACCCCAGATCGTATATTCAACTGTGACGAATCAGGAATAAGTAGTCAGCATTCCACCCAATGTTGTGGCTAAGCGTGGTGAAAAGCAAGTAGGACAAGTGACATTGTCTGAAAAGGGGGAGCAAATCACTGACCTTTTTATAGTAAATGCAATAGGAAACGCTTTACCACCTGTACTTGTGTTTCCCAGAATCAGATATAAGGAGTCTTTCTTAAATGGTGCTCCTCCAGGCAGCATTGCACTAACTAGCAAGACAGGTTGGATGTCAAGTGATCTTTTTAAACAGACTCTAGAACACATAATTCATCACACAAAATTCACTGAGGAACAACCAATATTGTTAATTTTAGACAACCACGAGAGCCATGTGGGTTTAGAAGTGATAATGACAGCAAAAAAAACGGAAGTTATACTTTTAACGTTTCCACCACATTGTAGTCACCGACTACAGCCTCTCGATGTATCTGCTTTTGCCCCATTTAAAAGTCAATATAACAGAATTTGTAATGATTGGCTACTGAATCACCCAGACAAAACCATATTCATCTAGTGCATAGGTGATCTTGTGGGACAAGCTTACCCTTTGACTGTAACGCAGAAGAACATTATTGCTGGTTTTCGAAAGACTGGCATCTTGAAACCTCAATACTCCGGGAGTATTGGATTTTAGGAAGTGTAAGACTTCCAAATTCCAGAAGAACTGGAAGAGAGGTGATGAAAATACTAAAAATATGGCTAAGCTCAGAAGAACAAACTTAAATGGCCAAAGAGACACTAAATCTCAAGTGAGTGTTCGGGCTAGCTTCAATGCACTGAATTGTGGCTTTAAAGATACAAAGCAGATAGCAAGGATAATGAGCTAATGAGACAAGAAACGAAATGAGACCTGTCAATATCAAGTGACGGAATCTAAAAGAATTATGTAATTTAATAAATGTAATTTAATAGGTGTAGCAGCATGGATTGACTGCACCAAAACAAAACATCAAAACAGGTTAAGTCAACATGTCAAAATTTCCGAAGTTCATTTCGTAGAGGTGACAGGCTTGCGCCATGAAATGAACACGCGCAGAACACAGAAGGCTGTAGAAACCTTGTATATTCCACCAAAAAAGTTAGAGAAAAAAAAACCAAAAAACTTACTGATAAGATATGGACTAAAACAGAATTTAAGTTTAACTATATAAAAAATGACCTTCTGTTCTTTGTAAGTAAATCAAGGAAATTTTATATTTAAATCATTTCGGAACTCAAAAATAAATCTCTAAAGAAATACTAAACTGCAATGATAAATTTGATTATATGATAAAGAGATAATACGTATGAAATTATTTACTTACATGGAGCCGCAGCACGCCAAAAAAATCTTCCTTTTTATGTGGAACTCTTATAAATGAGAAAATCTTGATTTTTAAAATTTACTTATTATTATTTTTATGATATGATTATTAAATTAGGTATTATTTTATTCGTTCCAGATTATTTTACTGCTCCAATTCCGTCACTTTGAATTGATTGACGTGGCTGCGTATGAGTTCTGACCAAAACTGATCGTTCTCGTACAGACTCGACCAGTCTTCTCTTTTTAAGCGACTACTGCGCGTGTGGGGAAAAATGTCCATTTAAAAATCGATCGCTGGCGAAACACAAAAATTTTCGTGAGGGGTTAATCAGTAGCGTAAACGCTACAACCTACCCTTTCAACAGTGAGCCATTCACCGAAGCAGAATTTCTAATGTCTTCAGTAACTAACCGGTCTCCTCCATCTGCACAAGCTAATGGTATTTCTTCCTCAGCAGAACAAGAATATCCTGAAATTGACCATACAGCCAGTTCATATCATTCCTCAAAAGATCCTTCTACATCTTTTGAAAAACCATCAACTTCTGAAGACTCTAACGGCTGTAACAAAAATGGATTGGCTAGAGCGCCAATATAACAAGAATGTGTAGTAAAAATGTGCAGTGTAGCAATAGGGTAAACTCTAAAATGTACCTTGATACACCAACAGACTAATATCGGAAATAACAGAAGATGGAAGGGATTATATAGAAATAAATTATGTAAAAGAAATAAATAAAGGGTAAATATGAATATTTAAAATATATTAAAAATAATGTTGGCTAGCGACTATGCAGGAGAATGACCACTTGACACTCAAGAGGGATTAGGCCAATTTGCATGCCCTACAGTGACCGTAAGATATAAGAACTAAAGACAAGAAATCTACCAAGAAATAAACAGATGAAAGATGAAGTTGCTCTACTGAATGTTTGGGCGCCAGGAAGTTAAATGGTTTCTTCCGAGATATCTTGTATTGCTGAAATATTAAAGGATGGGTACCAAGTGAAATCTTAAATTGTTTTAACCCAACTTTAATAAATACCTATTTTATGTACAATTAACTAATCTATATTTACAGTAAAAATCCCTGAATACAATGATAAAACAGTTTCCCCTTTGCCAAATGTACCTATTTATGTGAAATGTTGACTAAGGTTATGCAATAGTTATATAAATATAATATAAAATGAAATATATAATAATATAAATGTTACAATTATCGAATAAATGAAATAAAACCTCTCCGGATATGTGTGCACACTATAACCTGGTAACGAGAGATTCCAGGGGAGTTATTATCTCAACCCTTGATGAATAATAAATGTTTTAATAAATTTACAATGACTCTTATTTAAAAAAATGAAGGTGATTATTATTAATAAAAAGTTAAAGCCTTGAAGAGGAAGTTAAAAGGTATTATTATAAATATTTAAATGAAAACAACAAAAAATAAAACTAGTTCTTCCTGCCGGTTCTTCTCGGTGGACCTGGGAGGTGGTCAGGATGAAGAACTAGATGCAAGTGGGTAGAGGTCCAAAACTGGACTCCAATAAAAGGTACGTTAAACTAAAACCATAGAATTCTTCCCCTGGTGTTTAAATCCCCATAAAATTAAATTAAAAGTTTTTCTTCCCCCCCGACTTGTCCTGGAATCCGTAACTAGGCGGCTGTGGTCCAAACTTAAAGTATTTTCCCAAAA